AGTGAAGGATAGTAAAACCATGTTCAGTAAGAAAATCTGTGTTTATATAAATTGCCCAAGAGAACATTTGATAGAATGATGATTTATGTACCATCTTCTTGGCCACAGAAATCTGGAGTGCAGACATAGAAAAAGCACAGCTGTGTGAAAACAATCCTGTACTCAAGACTTGATGTTGGAGGTACCCAACTTAACTAACATAGAAGGACTGAATCATGGAAGCAGTGCAAATATACATTTCTACATGGTTTTATTTTTAGGTGTTCATCACCCATACAAGGCACATTCAATTTTAAGGCCATCTGACCTACATAATGAATGCTAGGACTTAGAACAGCCCTATTACTGAGGATAAAATGTGAATTCACTGTAACCAAGAAGGGGAAACAATATTATGAGAACAGAACTGTTTCTGTTGTACAAATAACTGATGAGGAACAATTCCCATGGTAACTATCATGTTTCTGGACTTCATATGACTATGATGTGGGTCTTCTCAAACTTGAATTTCTGATTATAAATGAAATACTGCTTTATAATATCAGACATCAAAATTTAAACAAAAATATACCTATCCAGTGAACATGGGCCTAGATTTCATTTTATTTTTCATAAACATCCGAATAGGTGCTGGACAGTTTTTTATTTCCTCATGTGTCATTCACTCTCACAGGAGACACTAGGAAGACAGCAGATGATGCTCTCTGTAGGTGTTTATGGGTACATGGTTTGGGTGGATGAATGAATGAATGAATGAATGAATGAATGAATGAAAGAATGAATGCAGTGTCCTAGCCCTTTCCTGCCTATCTGTGAGGCAACTGTCTTCTGACTCACTGACTGTTATCAGAATCATGCTGTCTTCCTTGCTGTTCAAATCAGTATTAGGTAATTCTAGGGAGAGTGAATGCTGGATCCATTCTCATGGACATACAGCACTGCCTTGAGTGTTTTCACTGAAGGGAAAAGGGGCATGCCTTTGCTTATAATGTATTCCAAGTCTCTTTCTTGTTGTGTAATGACTACAGAAAGTAAGAGCTCCTTTTCCTTTCATAACCTTGTAACTTGATTACAGACAAGAAGGTTGCATTGAGAATAAATGACTTAAAGAATAAGTTAAACATCTTGGGTGCTACAAACACCAGTGATATTGACTTGCAAAAAGTCATGGGAGATCCTTATGGGCTGTAAGGTGGGTATTATAAAGAAAATGGAATTTAAACCTAGGACAAAACATGTAAGTGCATTGATTTGCACAAGAAAGCTTCACTAAATAAAAAAAAAAAAAAAAAGAATAAGTGCAGAATAGAATATGGACAAGAGGACTGAGGAAGCTTCCCCTCAGGAATCATCTTGCTGGTGTGTAAAATGGTGGGTAAAGGTATTTTTTGTCAACGATGAATTCACTCATGGAACCCACATAGTGGGAGCCAGTTGTCCTATGACTTCCACATGCATGCATGGCACATGTACTTCATGGCACATGTACTGCATGTGCACACAAAACAACAAACAAACAGACTGATAAAATAAACTTGAATAGAAAACACGGTGGTGGTTCCAGGAATGACAGCAGACAGAATTGTGGAAGGACAATTTTGGGGGTCCAAATGTCTGGATGTCCCCATCATCTTTCCTCAAAGGTAAAATGTCTGCTTGAACTACAATAAATGATTATCAGATATTTAGAAGAAGGGAGAAATTCATGCATTTGCATGCTTGTAAACTTAACTCATGTATGATCTTTCAAGTATTTTAAACAAAACATTCTAACATGGTTGAAAAACTTACAAATAAAATATGTAAAAATCTGCTTACCCATAAATATTTAATAAGATTACTTTTTCACTGAAATAATTGTCTCCATAAGATAATGAAGGTATGGTACATGAATGTATGTGAGTTGTGTGTGTGCAACTTCTGCTTATTGCACTGTATGTTATGTGGTAGTTTAGCATCCTAACACTTAAATCAAAAGCCTCTAAAATTTTTAATATTTTTACCGCATCTCACTGCATATGGATGCTGTTTGGGCTCACGGGACTGGGACATGTCATTGGTCTACTGAACCCACCTTTGCTTAGCATCTGGGAAGTTTTAAAAATGGTTCAAATTGTGTGGTAAACACAAATACTATCACTGCGCTTCATCTTCCATTTGATAGAAAATAGAGCTTGTAAGTTAGTGTTGGCTATTGAAATGACAAGCACAGTAACATAAAAAAGTGACTGACCTCCAGAGTTGCTTCAATCCCACTGACCCTGCTGTGAGAAACCCTGTGTCGTGCTAGTCACCCAGGCAACTCATGGCTGCTTGGACAAGCAATAGACATCTAAGTAATTTCACAGTTCAGCATCAAAGAGAAGCTAAGCTATAAGAAGGAATATTAACATTACTTTGTTAATGAAAAGCAGAAAGATGCCACAGGAAACCACTGTAATGTATGTGCATGTGACATGGCATGTGTTCAAATGTAGAGAGGAAATGAAGAAGTAAAATGATGGTAAGAAAGGAGAGATGTGTGTGACAGGTCAAGGTGAAGGCCTGTGGTATGTAGAGATTGTGTATCACAGGTCAAAGTTATGGCCTGGAGTATGTAATCCCAACATTCTGGAAGGATGAGATGTTATCAGACACAGAAAATCCTCCTAGTCAGTGAAGAGAGCAGGAGTCCCAAACACTGTCAAGGAGAACCAGATACAAGGGATGGGGGAAAGAAAAAGGAACTGGGGGGGGGGGGGAGCGTCTGCTGTGAGACACTGTCAGAGAGATAAATGTGGGGTCTAACACTGCAACAAAGAAAATGAAGACAAAGCATGTGTTTCTGGGTCACCACTGAAGAAATGGTGATACGGGTTTGTGATGAGTTGTCTATAAGGACAGATAGATAGATAGATAGATAGATAGATTTATCAGTAGAGGGTTATAGTGCTGGAATGATATAATTATCATAACTAGGAAAGATAGCAAATAGAGGGGGCCACTTGAGTGGAAAATTAGTGAATCAATGCTGTTAAAGAATAATATATAGCCAGGCATTGGTGACTCACTCCTTTAATCCCATCACTCGGGAGGCAGAGGGAAGCAGATCTCTGTAAGTCAGAGGCCAGCCTGGTCTACAGAGCATGTTCTAGGGCAGGCTCAGAGAAACCCTGTCCCGAAAAACAAAAACAAACAAAAAAGAGTAACATATAAATCTTAGTATTATTTAAATTAACACAAAGACAATGGAATGTCTATGTATAATGTGTATCACTTTAGTGAATCTGGCTGATGCAAAAAATAGAAAGGTCACAAGTACATGGAAATAGTCATTTGAAAGACAAAGAAATCTAACAAAGACACAATAGAGAACTAAAGACAATCAGGACAGGATAACAGCATGTGTCACACACACACACACACACACACACACACACACACACACCAGTGTCAGGGGCAGTGGTAAGAGTGTTCTCATCACCAGCTGTCACTACAACAGTCCACAGAGTAGATGCCTTTGGCTAGAAGGTTTTCCCATGCCTCATGGGAGGCCTTGAGTTAATGGCAACTATATCCTCCCCACCAGAGCCTAGTCCTGCCTAATGAAGAGAAACAGGGAGGAGAACTATATGGTATGGAGCCTTTTTTGTCTCAATTATTTCTTTCTGAAGCTTCTAACTTGCTATACATGCATAGAAAATATTGCCTATTGGAAGCCTCAGAACTTGAAACTTCCTTAATTACACCATGCTGTTCTTCCATGAGTGAGCCAGTGTCACTCTGGAGTCATCACATTTGTCTTCTGCCATGCCACTCTGGTCAAAGGCCAGTAGCCCCTCTAGGACCTTCTACTGGGCTACAAATAGTCATGATGGCTGTGCAGACTATGGCCTCTACACCTCATTTGATTCTACAAAGGTGAAAACAGCTTTTGGTTTGGTATTATCGCAGGGAAGGCTTCTGGTATGGTCTGAATTGCCCATCTACCAGTATCATAAAATCACAGACATCAGGAAACACCTATGTTTGCCTTACCAGGGAGCATCCGTATATGTAAGCAGAGTTAACTCTGTGGGCAACACTGCACAGAGCACAGCCTGTGTAACCCGCACAATCTTCACAGCTGTCTTTCAAGTCCCCAGATTATTCCCACCTTTTGGAAGAAAAGTAAGGCAGAAAATAAGCAGAAAGGCCACATCAGCATTTGAAGCTAGTTCTGCCTAAAATCAAATCAAGTGCTCATTAAGTACAGGCATTGATGACCGAGTATCCGCTACCCATTGAAAGCATTCCTGTGGCTCTCCCCTCTGAATTATATGTATCTATTTGTAGATATAAAATGCATGATCAAATATGTCCAGAGCATGAAAATGAGTTATTTGATCACTAAGCGTATCTTAAACTTACCCTCAACTGTAGATTCCTTTAAACTTAGGATTGTGTTGATAGTTAGGAAACAGCCTTGTAGGAATGCCATATTGTTCACTGAACTATTTAGTGGCTGGTTTAGAAGAGACCATCTATCAAAGAATTCTAGCATTTAGACAGAGAGCCCTGCTGAATATTCAGTCATGATGATGGCGGCAGCATAGAACTGCATGGAGGGACCTGGGAGGTGTTCTTGGCTGTATCTGTTCAGATAGGCATGCTTTAAAAAAAAAAAAAAAGACTTTTTTTTTTTTTTTTACTCCACTTTAATGTCGACTGGTATACTGATATGGATTGTTTTTCTATTGTTTAATTAGATTCATTAGGGCGAAAGTTCTCTCGTGTGTATGCGCTAGGCTGTTCACTGTGTGTCATTGATAAGTGTATCTTCCAATGTAAATAAGTGCAGGACACATGCACAGTACTCATTGAATTACTTAGCACCGTTGTACACCGTCATAATTGCATGGTGTGATTATGAAAGGGAAAGAAAAGGTAGTGGGAAGGGACACACACAGGGCAGCGTTTTCTGAACCGTACACTACTCTGTTGTCACATGTTTGTTTACGTGTTTGGTTTTGGTTTTGCAGGTGAAGACAGATGACAGAGTGGTGAAGATGGACCTGGGTTTACTCTTCCTCAGAGTGCGCAAATCAGATGCTGGGACCTATTTTTGCCAGACAGTAGAGCACAGCTTTGTCCACACTGTGCGTAAAATCACGCTGGAGGTAGTAGAAGAGCAGAAAGTGCAGGGGATGTTTCATAAGGACCAGGAGGAGGAAAGACATCACAAGATGCCCTGCCCGCCCTTGAGCAGTGTGCCTCCGGGCACAAAATCCTGGTACAAGGAGTTCTTGCAGCTGATTGGCTACAGCAACTTCCAGAGAGTAGAAGAATACTGCGAAAAGGTGTGGTGTACAGACAAGAAGAGGAAAAAGCTTAAAATGTCTCCCTCCAAGTGGAAGTACGCCAACCCCCAGGAAAAGAGGCTCCGCTCCAAGCCCGAGCATTTCCGCCTGCCGCGGCACACATTGGACTCCTGAGGGCGCCCTCTGCTGGCTGCCGCGGGACCAAGCGTGGGAATTTTTAAAGAAAAGAGAGGCAGCATGCAAAATCCTTCCAGTGTTTCACAGAGCTTTCTGTAGTGCAGAGAGGGGGAAGGTGTTTTAAGTTATTCTGCATTCTCATCTTACTGTACAAACCGCTCACAGTACGAGTACTCATACGCGTGTATTGCTCAAAAGGCTTCACTTTGTATTTATCAACACATGACCGTGGCTGCAATTTTGAGTTTGAGCTGCTTTTCAGGGAGATTATTTCACCATTGGAATATTTAATATAATTATAATAATAAAGGAAACGTTATAGATTTTCATAATCATGAAAAATGTAAAACTGAAACTACTTTAGTCTTTCTGGAGTTTTCCTTGCAACCATATAGTAAAATGCACAGAATATCAGATACTTCAGGATTTTCTAGTGAACTTTCTGTTCTGCTTCTGATTTTTTTTAAGCCATGAGTTTTAAGTAGTTGTGTTGTGATTGCTATAAACCAACTGTAAAAGCAACATGCTACGTGCCATTCTGAGGCCTGTTCCTTCCATGAGACATTCATTAAACTGTATTAAATATTTCTATTTTATAAACAAGGCAAATCGTTTAAATTTCATTGCAGTGTGGAAAGGAAGAAATCCTCTCAGAAAGATATTTTCAAATAGTGTGAACGAATTTTAATCAAAAGGTTCAGGTTGCCCTCTTGTGGTAGAAGAATACATAGTTGCTTATAGAGCTTTTCCCACAATTACCCAGCAAAGATTTGAAAAATTGTATGAGCAGATACACCTAGTTCATTTTCAGAAAACACAAAAAGAAAAACTCTGATGCTTACATCATGATTTAACATGAAAATGTTATGCTTGTAGATAACTCATGACTTCACAATACAGTGAAGATTTTAGCCTCATTTGATCGTTTAAAATGTAAAAGGCAAGCTTGTTGTTAGCCCCTCCCCGAGACCTGAAATTATCTGGAAGTGTGCTTTTCTGTACAGAAGTCATCAAAGTGTTTTCCTCTCGTTTTCTATGACCAAAAATTGTTTATTGGGCTCATCTGACTACTGAAATATTCATTGTCTTTGTCTTATAAATACTACCAAGATTTATATTTTTCAGAATGTTTATTTCTTGAAGTCTTCCTCTTTGTATTTTAAAGAGTTAGCAGCTACCTTTCTAAAATATGAGAGCTTTATGATACTTTTCACTTAAATAAGAGTAAAGCAAGAGCAGTGTACATAAAAAACATTAAAGAATAGCTGTTCACACATTACATTTAAATATTTATGTCTGCTATCTCAGTATACCATATAATAAGGAATATAAAGTGTTGAAAACTTCTAATGGCTTTATTTTTCACCCTAAATGAGTATTACTCATACCACTTACACAAATACTTTACAGAGTTTTGGTGTGTGTGTGTGTGTGTGTGTATGTGTGTGGTGATATTTTGTTTATGATCTAATAAAATTTGTCTGGAGATCAGAATGCAAAGATAGCCACAGCCATAGAGACCAGGCAGTGGGGCACACACCTTTAATCCCAGAACTCAGGAGGCAAATGTATCTCTATGAGTTCAAGGCTATCCAAAGCTATATGAGAGCTAATCAGTCTAACAGAGAAACAGGGATCACACCTATAATCCTAGCACTGGAGAGGTATATGAGACAGGAGCAGGGTCTCAGAGCTGGCATTCATTCTCCAGCCACATTGAGGACAAGAAGACATTCAATCTCTAGCCATGCTGAGGATTCATGGAGTCAGGATCCCCATCCCCAAGTCTGAGGTAGAAGTAAGAGCTAGTGGCTGGCTGCTTTGCTTCCCTGATCTTCAGGCAAGCTTTATTGGATCATAAACAATGTATCACCCCAGTTTTTAAAGTGCAGAATTTCTAAAACATATAAAGAAAAAATTCACATCCTGGGTAAAGCCTACATATTGTAGACCTTGCAATCCACTGGGGGTCACTGTTGTCCACCAATAGTAATTGAAGAAAAGCTTGTATTAGAAACTTTTAAATACTGTATTTCAGGAACACACAAAGGGTGGAGAGGGAAATTGGGAATTAAAACCATAAACACATCTCACTAGTTCCTAAGGAATATATATGTCTATAATATTCCAAGTGAACAGATAAATCGATGCAAGAAATTTTGAAACAATTCTTCTCTAAGCTTATTAAAGATAAGGAAACATTTTTGCTATTAGATCTATGTTAAATAATAAAATAAGTATGTGTTTATATGTGCTATATTCATGTATTGTACATGTTCCCACCACCTGTTTACAGTAGCAGCTTAAGACAACTAGTAGCGCAAAGAGAGAGACAGAGAGAGAGAGAGAGAGAGAGAGAGAGAGAGAGAGAGAGAGAGAGACGTTTCCAAGGATACAGCAGATAGAATACTGTCCTCTCTGGTCCTCTCTCCTTCTGACCACCCTTGCTTGTAGATTCCTGAATAGTGTTAAGATAAATTGCTAACCCTTTCCAAAGTTCAAAACAACTGAATAAAAATCTGCTAAGTGTTTTTGAAAATCTAAAGCCCACTGTAAGCACCACCATCCTTGTGTTGGCCCGGAGGTTAGGATTCAAAAAGACTCTCCTTTGAAAAGAATTCCACTGAAAACAGGACATGACAACCTAGAACCAGGCAGGATGTCAATATGACTCTGTCAAAGGTGACAAGAGCTCACCCTGAGCCACCAAGACATGGCTTTGACAAAGAAAATGTGTCCTCAAATCACACAGCTGACCTAGGATTCTAACCACCCATCCTTATCCCTTTGTGTGCCCGGTCTCCTGCTTCACCAGAGCCTGAGGTACCACAAAATGAGCTACCCTTTCCCTCAACATCATGCTACCAACTTAGGTGTAGACCCAGACACATCAGGAAGTCCCCACTTAAAAGAGATGCCATGACTTTGGGAACTGTTTCCATGTCTGATGTTCTGTGATGCAATCTTTCTTTTTTGCATTAAATAATGAATATGTCAGGGAGAAAGTTTCAATTTCGAGAAACAGGAAAGGAAACAAAAGAAATATATACCAATAAACCTAGAGCAGGGGATTAAAGTCTACATTGGTTTGTGTGTCTCAATGCACAGAATATATGGGATCTATACTATACATTTCACTAAGTGTATTCCTTTCCACAACTGGCTAAATCTGTGAGATGTTTCTATTGAATGTTTTGCAATTGCTGTGGGATGTAGGGTTTTGTAAATTTTCATAGTAATTATTAATATTTGTAAAACTTGTACAATAGAACAAATTATTTTGAATGTTAGTCTTAAGCATGAGAGAAACAGCAGTTGTCCTTAGAAATGATAGCTTTGGCCTGTCAAACATATGGGGTAGTTAATGCTATATAGATAACTTATGTCCTGGGTAAATATACATCTGTGTTGAAAAGTTCCCTTTAAATATACTCCTCATTTTCCAGGCCCACAATTGCTGATTTGACTCAGATATAATTGTTATATTCTCCACAAACTCTCTTTTGTTTGCAGCAGCATCACTGTATACTGGTATCTTGTTATCATATTGTCTTGGGAGGACAGCCTCACATATTGGCTTTCATTATGTGTAAAAAGGCTTAGATCTCAACTAGAGCACATGCTGGAGTGTCTTTGTCTTGTGGTATCTCTTGTCTGTTTGGCAGGGTCTATGAAGCATGTACCATCGTGTTTCTCTCCACTAATGATAGCTCTGAGACCGATCATCACCTGATGATAGGTAACAGGGACCAGTGACTGTGTGTGTCCTTGACTGTTGCATAGATCCACCACCCTACACTACACAAAGTCTGTACTATTAAATGGAATTTCTATCTGGTTCACCATAGATTAAAAAGAAATAAATATTCTCCAAAATGTTAAGTGCTATCTGAGAAATATTTTCTATCTTTCTTCCTTCTTTCTTTCCTCCCTTCCTCCCTCTCTTTTTCTCCTTTCCTCCCTTTCTCCATTCTTCCCCCTCCTTACTTTGCTTGTTCCCGTCCTTCCTTTCTTTCCCAGATGAACACTCTCTTATATCTAGCCTGATGTGGGCTGCAATGTGCAGCTGAAGGGCTTTCTTTAAGTTAGAGTGGAATTTAATGTTTTTTTTCTGTGAAATTGACAAGTTTTCCAAGAAGGAAAAATACCATTAACCCCTCCTTAGAGCAGCAGAGTTTAATTGAGCCATACTAGATTTCTGTGATGTTCAGGTATGGCTCAGTCTCGCATCAGCCTTCATAGTCAAGGTGCTTCGTCATCTATCCTCCAGCCATCCAAATCACTAGGCCAGTCCTCGGTGTCTAGCACCAAGGACCCTAGCACCAAGAAGAGACCTACAACCTAGCAGGGCATATCTGTGTTGTGTCCTGAACCATGTCAGTTTAGGTGTAAGTTCAATGGATTTATAAGACTATGACGGTCCTTGTAGCTATGAAACTCAAGACAACCCTCACATTAGACTTAACCTCTCACAAGTATACCTTAAGTCTTATCTCCAAGTCAACTCTAGATCGTGTCAAGTTGACAATAAACATAACCATCACATCCTTGTGGCTAAAATCATCTTGAAACAAAAGAAAAACCAACAACACGCAGAAAACATACATTTAATTTAAAATATATCACAATCTACACAGTCTACAATATTGCATGACATTGCTATTGAAACAATCACAGAACAAAAATTTTTAATGGAGAGCCATATAATTACAACATAATCTTTAGACTACTAATTTTCAACAAGTGTGTGAATAAAAGACAATATTTTAGTGACTGACAAACTGCCAATACAGGTGGGCAGTTTAAAGTTTCCTGCCTTGCTGAGGAGTCTGCCAGACACGCTATGGCCTATGGGCTGAAGATGGAGCATTACAGAAGAACTTCGGGTGACTGACCAGGCGAGTTGTCTCTGCCATTTCTAGAGTGTATATATTATCTTTCTGTGGTTGGAGTTGAAGACAGATAGTTGTGGTCATAGTTTTCTTAATTAAAATTAAAGGTAAGTGACATATAAGACTTTAGACTCACAAAGATAGGATAGATGATGAAATATTTTCTTTAATTACTGACGTTAATGGACTAAATATTGTTAACTATGATTCTTATTTGATAACTGTCTTTGTCATATGTAATTTTACTATGTTAAAGTTAAAGCCCTCCTTTTTATTTTAGACAGAAAAGAGATGATGGGAGATGTCATTCTGTAAATATGTTTCTCTTATTAGTTAATTAATTGGCAAAATAGGCAGGACTAGGAGACAAGGAGGATTCTGGCAGATGTAGAAGGGGATATTCAAGATGTAGGAACTTGAGAAGAAGGTCTGGGCCCTCTCTCTGGTAAGATAAGAGCACGTGGAAATATTTAGATTGATATCAATGGGTTAGTATTTAAGACAAAGCTAGCCGCCAATAAGAAGTTCTAGCCTTTGGCCAACAGCTTTACCAAAAAAAAAAAAAAAAAAAAAAAAAAAAAGACAATCTTTTGAATAGATGTTGTAAATGTCTGATATACACATGCCGAAGCATGAAGGTGAGGACAAAGGCATGGTCTTATGTAGCCCAGGATAGTCTCCTTAAACTGTTTGTTTTCTCTTGGCTTTCTTGACAGTCTTTAAGGGATTTATTTAGTTCTTCTTTAAGGACCTCTGTCATCTTCATAAAGTTGGTTATAAGTTCATTTTCTTATGCTTCCACTGTGTTGTAATATTTGTGTCTTGTTGAAGTAGGACAGCTGGGTTCTGGTGGTGACCTACTGCCCTGGCTGTTGTTGATGGTATTCTTATACTTACATTTAGACATCTGGATTTGAAGTGATTATAGGTGTAGGTCACAATTTCTGGGTTTGTCTTTGTTGAGTGGGTGTTTTCTTCCTTAGTTTCTATTTCCTCTCTAGTCTGCTGGCTGGAGTGGCCTGTGGTTGAGTAGAGAGGCTCTTCTCCTGAGTTGGAAGATGGACTTCTGATGTCTTAGATGGGCTCTGGTCCAGCAGGGGGCTGCCGCCAAGGTGGAGGCTGGAGTTCTGGCTATGTGCATGGCTTCTTATCAAGCTGGAGATTCTCTCAGATTCAATATTCTGGCCTGGCTACTGTGTAAGAGGTTTTTGTCTGGTTTTCAG